CTCCACAACCTCGCCAGCATTTGTTATTTTCTGTCTTGTTGAACTTTGATACTAGTGCTGGAGCAAGATGGTATCTCATTGTTGTTTTGATTTGCATCAAGAGATCCACATTTGTACCCATTCCAAAGAAAGGTAATCCCACAGAATTTGAAAATTATCTAACAATATCATTAATATCACACACAAATAAAATTTTACTGAAGATAATTCAAAAACGGTTGCAGCAGTTATTGACAGAGAACTTCCAGGAATGCAAGCTGGATTCAGAAAACAACATGGGACAAGGGATATCATTGCTAATGTTATATGAATCTTGGCTGAAAGCAAAGAATACCAGCAAGATGTTTACTTGTGTTTTATTGACTATGCAAAAGCATTCGATTGCGTGGATCATAAAAAATCATGAATAATATTGAGAGGAATGGGAATTCCAGAACACTTCATGAGGGATCTGTACATAGACCAGGAGGCTGGCATTCAAACAGAACAAGGAAATACTGCATGGTTTAAAATCAGGAAGGGAGTGTATCAGGGTTTTATCCTTTCACAGTACTTATTCAATCTGTATGCTGAACAAATAATCCAAGAATCTGGATTATATGAAGAAGAATAAGGCATCAGGATTGGAGAAAGACTCATTAATGACCTGTGATAAGCAGATGACACAACTTTGCTTGCTGAAAGTGAGGATGACTTGAAGCACTTATTGATGAAGATTAAAGACTATAGACTGGAGTATGGATTACACCTCAACATAAAGAAAACAAAAAGCCTCACAACTGGACCAATAAACAGCATGACGATAAATGGAGAAAAGATTGACGCTGTCAAAGATTTCATATTACTTGGATCCACAATCAACACTAATGGAAGCAGCAGTTAAGACATCAGACAACATTTTGCATTGGGCAAATCTGCTGCAAAAGCCCTCTTTCAAGTGCTTAAGAGCAAAAATGTCTCCTTAAGGCTAAGGTGCACTGAACCCAAGCCATGGTATTTTTAGTCGCCTTGTATGCATGTGAGAGCTGGACAGTGAATAAGAAGACTGAAAAAGAGTTGATGCTTTTGAGTTGTGGTATTAGTGAAGAACTCTGAAAGTACCATGGACTGCCAAAAGAACTAACAAATCTATCCTTGAAGAAGTACAGCTGGAATGCTCCTTGGAAGCAAGAATGGCCAGACTTCATCTCACCTACTTTGGCATGTTGTGAGAAGGGACCATTCCGTGGAGAAGACTATCATGCTTGGTAAAGTGGAGGGTCACCAAAAAAGGAGAAGGCCCTTAACAAGAGGGATTGACATGGTGGCTGCAGCGATGGGCTCAGGTATAGCAGGGATTGTGAGGCTGTCACAGGACTAGGCAGTGTTTTGTTCTGTTGTACACAGGGTTGCTATGAGTCAGAGACAACTCGATGGCACCTAACAACAACAGCAGCAAAGCTGTTTCAAAATCAAGTCTGTTGTTGTTGTTGTTGTTGTTAGGTGCCATCAAGTCAGACCCAACTCATAGTGACCCCTCCTTGGGTTTCTGAAGCGGTATCACTATGGAAGTAGATTGCCCAACCTTCCTTTCAAGGAGTGGCTGGTGGATTTGAACTGCCAGCCTTCTGGTTAGCAGTCAAGTGCCTTAGGCACTGCTCTATTAGAGCTCCTAAAAGCAAGTCTAGGGTGAATAATATGGATAGATGAATTATTATTAGCTGCTGTCAAGTTGACTCCTAATCATGGTGGGTACAACAGAATGAAACAATACCCAGTCCTGCATCATCCTCACAATTGCCAACATGTTCTGGTTCATTGTTGTGGCTATTGTGCCAGTCCATCTCACCAAGGGTCTTCCTAGCCCTCATTAGCCTTCTACTTTACCAAACATGACATGTCCAAAACAAGTGAGTAAGACACTATTGTGTTATGATCCATAAGGTTTTTATTTGCTGTTTTTCAGAAGTAGGTTGTCAGGCCTTTATTCCTAGTCTGGAACTTCTGCTGAAGTCTGCCCACCAAAAATGATCCTGCTGGTATTTGAAATACCAGTGGCATAGCTTTCAACATCCCAGCAAACATAAGCCAGCACAGTGCAACAAACCGACAGACAGCGGAATAGATGTATAGGTATTCAGAAGTATGGGACCATATGTCCTGGTTTTCCTGGGACAGTCCATGTGTCTGTTGCCCTGGTATCACTATTAATAGCACTCTCTTTTGTTTTCATAATGCCCTGGAAGAGACAAGAAGGTCTAGAAGGGAATCCTGAGTCCCATCTCAGAATGGCCATGATAGCTGGTTACTCTTCTATGTGGCATCTTTAGCTTTGCTGGGATAACCAAGTCCTTTTTTTAGCCTTGATATCACACTTCCATCAAGTCAGTTCCAACTCATAGCAACCCTCATTGAGTTTCCAAAGCTGTAAATCTTTACAAAAGTAGATTGCCTCATCTTCCTCCTGCAGAGCAGCTGGTGGATGGTAGATATGTATTCTGTTTCTTCTTCCATAAATATTTTGTAACCAGAAATATGTTTTTAAAACAGTTTATATATATGGGTTTCAGAAAGTTGCTCTTCATTGTGCTTTGCAAGGTGGCCCTTATTCACCTTTTAATAATCCCCTGTCAATATTTAGTTGCTAAAATCTGTTTTAAAATGTCTGTAGAAATTTATTTTTTTGTTTTCAACCCTAGATCTCTGTTCCTGTTCCTCCAACCTGGTGGTCACCCTCTGGCTTCTGCTAGCCAATCTATTCCCTCTGCTGGCTGGATTTCTTCTGTGTGTGTGGCACTAGGAATGGAGAAGTGAACTATCAAGATATTCCTTTGTGCCATGTTCCTCTGAACAAAGCACAAAATCTGGGCAAGTGCCAGCCTGTGCAGATGGCAGAAGTGGCATTCCTGACTTTGGTTTGGAAGTGTTGACCATGGTCAGACCTTGACACAGAGCTGCACAACCGTCACTGTTCATCAGCAGCCTCAGAGCTTGGAGAAGAAATTCCAAATCACCAAGTCTTTTTCTTTTTCAGAATACATAATCTTTCTGAAGTTTACCTTTCAAAATGGGATAATTGGTGGAATTTTAAGGCTGATTACATACCTCAGCATTTTCATTAACTTTAAATGATGGGCAAGTTCATCATCAGTACTGATAACCATATACAACAGCTATTTATTGTAACATTATAAGTTATGAATCATGTCCTCAGAAGTACCAATCATCCTTTGATGTACAGAAAACTATTGAATTGGAATATCTAACCACTATCATGCCTTTTAATGGCTGTATACATGGTACACTTAAATTATTGCTCTAAAGAATTTTTTTTTAAATTATTGTTTTTGCTAAAGATTATGATTTAACCATGCTTGCCTTTTCAAACCAGCTATATGGCAGTTTGATTACTGAACCATCAGAAGTGTGTTGGTAGCCCTCTTTCAGCTGTGTCTGTACTCATTGATCTTCAGAGCTCAGCTTCCAAGCTTCCAATTGTATTCTCCATTAGTTGAATAATGACTTGAAAAAATATGGATGCAGAAGGAAAAAATAAAAATTCTCCCTACAAAAACACTGAAGGCATATAAACAGAAGAAAACATCAAGGTATTTTTTTTCAGGTAATAGTTATGGTAACTGTAATCCACCCAAAACAAAAGTGTTCCTTTTTGACCAGTGACATAAAAGAAATTCTAGTGTAGACAAGTATGCAGTTATTGTCAAGTCAACTAAGATATTGTTAGGAGCTCTGGTGGTGTAGTGCCTAAGGTATTTGACTGCTAACCAGAAGCTGGTGGTTCAAACCCACCGCCTGCTCCTTGGAAGGAAGGTTGGGCAATCTACTTCGTAGTGATAACTGCCTCGGAAACCCAAGGAAGGGTCGCTATGAGTCGGATCCGAATTGATGGCAGTGAATATTTTGTTTTTTTAAGATATTGTTACAGAAGAATTTCTAATATGATCTGAAATTTTTTTATGGAAAGGAGGAAGACTATAAGTCTAAACAGAATGGTCTGGAATGTTTACTAATAGTAAAGTGTAGGTTTGCTGTAGTTCTTATCCAATAGGATCCATCTTACAGCATAAAATATGGCTTTAGTCTATAGAAGTTAGAAAATTGCCTTTATATCCTGCATTTCACTATCCTCCTTCTTTCTGTCTCATAGATGTCTTCCCTAGAAGCAATTCTGCTATGGTACTAGAGATTACCAACTCCACCTAGTAATTCCAGTTTCAAAGTTTTTAAAGATGGGTGATGTCTAGTTTTTCTATCTAGTGTTAATTAAGTCTTGTCCCATTATAAACACAACCCTTGGATAAGCATCCATCCATTTATTCGTTCTTTCTTTCATTGGTTGGCTCTTTAGTCATCATATAGCGACTGAGCACTTCACGTAAGAAGTTGTGCTAAATGAGCAAGGTGCATAGTTCTAAGGAGTAATTCCAACAGACTATTTGGCACAAGAGTCACCCCAACATAAAAGAAGGTTACGTTTTTATTTTTTAATGCATAAGTTTAAAAAGGCATATATGCATGCAGTTTTAAATTGGAAGTATTTATTGTGAAATCTGAGGTCTCTAACATGGTCAACTTCAGCGAAAGAGTAACTAACAGTAATGGTGTGCATACCAGTGCTCAGTTTTGTGCCTATCGGTACATACTTTAAACTGTGCAAGGTCAGAAAACAGAATAGAGTATATTTTTAAAGAAACATATAGTAATCTAAACTTATATACATATTGTGATTATGAATCATTCTGCAAAGTTATATAAAGAATTTCACCAAAAATACTATGGATTAGTAATATATTTGAGATTCACAGTGATAGTTTCTATTATCTTTTGACTGTTGTGCAGTAATGCCACTTAGATAGTATTGTTTCCTAGCATGGTGCTTTTTATACTTAAAGATATTTTTTTGCTTTATTTTTTATTGAAATAATTATATTTGCACTAATAACTTTCTGAAGAAAATATTATAGATGACATTTTTTTCTATATATATTTATTAAGCTTGGAATCTGGTAGTCTAATGTTATCTCTGCACAAATATGAAACTTGATGAAGTATATCAAGATATCTTGAGTTCCTGAGGGTTACTAACTGCATAGGTATCTTCCTTCCTCTTCAATAGTGTTTGAAAGGTTGCTTATCACTGATTCTGCATTGTGTACTCAGAGAAGACATAGAAGGCCACCGAACTTGTAAGAAGTTGTAAAGATGCAGGCTTGGGTCACTTAGAATATGACAGTAAAGCAAAGACAAAGAATGTCTTTCAAACCTTGAGATTAGAATTCAGCTGCAGACTGAATTTGAAATAGCCTAAGTATTGTTACCCTGTGGCAGCCTATGTTCTTCATGTTAGCGAAGACAGAACTAGTTCACTGTGAAAGAGAGACTAAGCAGGCTGCAGCCAGGGCAGAAGCAAGGGGGCTGGGAGGAGGCATGGAGAGCAGCTGATTTAGTGACTGGAGTCCCTTTCAGACTCAAAAAGGGTCATGTGCTTAAAAAAAAGAAAATGACTACCTCGGTTTTCAGTTCAGACTTTTTGATCGTATTAAGGTTACAATTGTCAAAAATATGTAATGAAATTGTCTCAGGTTTTCAAGAACAGAATTTACAGGAAGTAAGCAAAAGCCATGTCATCGACTTGAGCTGACAGCTTTATAGAAACTGGCAAGCAGTTAGTAGTCTCAGTGTAGGGCCCTCCAGTGTTCTCCTGATAAACATCCCTTTCTGTTTTTAAAATAAGTAACCCTTACGTTTTTCCTATTGGATACTTATTTTTGTTAAGACCAATGAAAATGTTATAAATTATGCTTGAAATTAGTTTTCAGCCTAATATGTTGGCTTAGACTATCATCAGTATTTGAAGTTGAAATGGAAATTTATAGGTTTAAATAGTTTTAGAAACGTACATAAATACTTCAGAATATTCCATAAAATTATATCATTATCTTCAGTATTAAAAGACTCACTGATAGAGGCCCAAAAGGTGCAAGTTCTTTATAAAGTGATCAGATGATTTCTCAGAATCCTTCCGGCTCTAACATTCTATGACTGATATTCATGCAGAATGCTAGGTCAGTGCTGGCCTGATGCAGCTCCTGCAGTATGCCGGCCTACACGTCGTGTTTATCACATTGTCTATGCTCGATGCCTTGCCACCGTCCATGTCCTTGAACACTGAATGGAGAGAAAAGAGCTATATCTGAGCTCTTGACTCAGCCTGGCAAGAGAAGGTGGACTTCAGTCACGGACCCATTTCACAGTGGGCACCAGTCATTCTTTGTAGCCCAAGATGATAAATAAAGGCTGTGCAACTCATTCCGAAGAAAGAACTTCCTTGAAAGGAAGACTTTTTTTTTTAATACATTGGGTCAGATTGGGGTGAATTATTTTCTTTTGTGTTTACATTTTTAAAGGACAAAATAGAAGATTTAAAGTCTAACGTTTATTTATGATATTGAATTTTAAGTGTAATATATTCCTTAGAAAAACACAACTATAATAAAAATGGAAACTAATTTGCATCTTGTCTTTCATTAATAATACCAATTTTTAAAAATCTGGATGAGGACTATACACACAGCCATGTTCACTATTTGGGGCATGATGAGATGTTTATTAAACAGACATCAGAGTTTTTAAACCTGAGTAAAATTGTCCTCCTTTAAAAATGGGGACAGAGCTGATGGATGTAAAGCTGCAGAGTGTAGCCCTCCTCATATAATTAAGCAACAGAGGGAAGAGGCTAAATTCAGCTTAGCTCTGGCGGAAGACACTCCAGTTCCTTTTGTTTTCAAAACAGGAGTCACACTGCTTGACCATTCTGACACATTCCAGTACCTCATTTGCAGAGTGGCGTCAAATATATTATGGTTATAGTCATGAAGTGTGCTTCTCTCTCATAACCTGAATGCAAGATGAGAGGGACCCAGGGACATGCCTTTACCATTTGCACTTAGGGCCTTTCTGCCCTGTGATGTGGAGCAAGCACTTTGCAATATTGATTAAACATAGCCTGTGTGACGTAGTGACTGAATGGAGATCTTTGTGAAATCTTTTTATTAATAATATTTAGACTTTTAAAGTTTTTTAAATTTTGATTTGGGTGAAAGTTTACAGAGCAAATTAGTTTTCCATTCAACATTCATATACTTTTTTTTTTTATTATTATTAATTGCAATCTCCACAATGTAATGGCACTCTTCCCGCTTCCTCCCTGTTTACTGTTTCCTTTCTACTTTCCCATCCCTTCCTGCCTTCTGAGCTTTGTCTCTGGACAATTCCTGCCATTTGACCTCAGATGATTGATTGTCCTAGGGAGTGTGCACCTCCCTGGCATTATTGTTCACCTCATAGGCCTGTCTGTTTTTTGGCTGAAAGTTTGAACCACAGGTGTGAGTTCACATCCAGGCTTGAAGGGTACTGGGAGTCTCTATCAGACCAATAAGCCTGGTCTTTTTTATGATTTTGAGTTTTCCACATTTTTGTCTCACTCTATCCACAATCTATTATGATCCCTTTCAGAGCAGTCAGTGGTGGGAGCCAGGCACCATCTAGTTCTGGTCCCAGAGTCGTGGAGGCTGGAGTTGCATGTTGTCCATTACTCCCTTGGACCAATTGGTACCTTGCGTTTTTTAAATTTTCTTTACTTTTCTTTGCTCCTGTTGGGGAGAAACCAATAGTTGTACCTTAGATGGCCGCTCACAGGCTTTTACGACTCCAGTCACTACTCACCAAAATAGGATATAGAACATTGTCTTTGTGGACACTGTTATGTTGATTAACCTTGGTCCCATAGGGTTTCCATGGCTGTAAATCTTTATGGAAGCAGGCAGCCCTTTGACACCCTTCAGCCACCTTTGTGGCTCAACTTTCAGCCAAATGATAGGACTGTATGGTGAACAAAAATACCAGAGAGGTACACACTCCTTAGAGCAATCAACCATATGAGATCAAAAGGGCAGCAATT